CCACGCGTCGTACGCGTCCATTGCCTTGTGCCTCAAGTTGCGCGGATTCCCTTCAGTCGGTGCGCTTCGCCTATTCCTTTGAGGACTCGCGCCATCCAACTCCCACGTGCCTCGCGTGTTCCTGTCGACCTCGTCGACCCTGTCGACCACGTCGACCTCGTCGACCTCGTCGACCCCTTCGCCCTTGTCGACCTCGTCGACCGCTTCGCCCTTGTCGACCTCGTCGACCCACCCCTTTAGCGCGTCCGCGCCACTGCAGCCGCCCCATGCGCACGCTGTCCACCCTTCATCCTCCCCTCGTGCTCCTTCGGCCTTAGCGTGCATGCGTTGCTTATGCCGGTCTCTTGCGCAAGCCCTACACCATTCGCCCACTCCTCCGGGCTCAATCCTCTCGCTCTCACCGTCGGCCCAATACTCCGCCGTACGCGTATCACCCGTCGTGTAGCCTCTCCGGGCCCTTTTAGCACGGTCTCGGTACTCACCCCGGGCTCTTGCGCGCTTCCTTTCTCGGCTTATGCGCGTATCGTCCTCGGGCTCGGATGGGTCGATGACCACATCCTCATCACACGGGTGGCGCGGCGCGGGGGCATCGCGGGCGTGGAGTGCGGGGCCTGGGCACCTCAGTCGAGGTCGTGGCGGGCGGCGCGGCGCGGCACGGGCGCGGGGCCTGGGCAGCTCGCACAACTTTGCTTCTCGGGTCCGTTTGAGCTCGTTTCAACTCGGAATTCGATTCCGCTTTTTCCTGTGTGTTCCCAACGAACTCCTCTATTTGATTAGGCTTGCCCAACTAGTATTTTTCCGAACTCCTGTTCTCCCGAGACTTCCAACCTACGCACCAACGACGACGAAAAAAACAGAAAACGAACGAAAAACACAAGAAAAACCAAGAAGAGAGCAAACACTAAATAAACTATAAAACGGCCTAAAAACCATTTAAAACACCTAAAATGGGGGAAAAAGAAAGACAAAAAGATAACGAAAAACGCAACAAAAATGGGACAAACAGTCTATACGTAGGTGTGCACATGAGTCTATTATTGATATGATTGGTGGGAGATTGGGATAGATGATTGTTTCATATACGTGCCTGACTTATTATTGATTATTGATCATTGTTTCTTTATTATGAATGATGTTTACTGCATAGTGGTGAGCACTACTGTAGTGCCCCGTTTTTTGTTTTTTTTCCAACGATAGAAATGTCTCCATTCAACAAAATACAAACACAAAGTTCCTAGACAACAACAAGATAAAAGCCGAAGGCTAAGCCAGGGAGCACTACCACACTTGGTAGGCTATAAACGAAATAACAGTCTATCATAACTAATCACCATCAAAGGCAGAAACAAGCTTCTGAACCCTCCAATGGGATATGAACCCAAGAATCACATCTACAGATAAAGAATACAGACATAAGTACAACAAAACAGAATAAACTAAGACACTGAACTGCAAAGCAGACCAATCTATGTCACTCTGACTCTGCTGCACCTCTTCATTGCTTGTGATTCTTGCCACTCAGTCCATGCCCCTTTCACAATGCTACAAATTGGTCTCCATTCTCCTTCAAATACCCACAAGTTCCTCAATTTCCACAGCCACCATAGGATGTAGGTTGTGAGTTCTATTCTTGCTTCATTCACAGCTACATTCCTGATTGAGCACACTGATCCCCACCAATCCTCAAATCTGCTCCCTTCAGCCTCTAAACCATCCCAATTAACCTGAGCTTGCTGCCACACCTTTTTAGCTCTCCTGCAATGAAGTAGAACATGTTCCACTGTTTCTCAGCTTCTCCACAGCATCTACAAACCACATCAAGCTCAATCCCTCTCCTTCTTAGGTTAACACTCACTAGTAAAGCTCCACTAACACACTTCCATAAGAAATGTTTTAGTTTGCTTTTCACCTGCAGACCCCAGCTTCTCTGTCTGATCTTCTGATTCCTCCTACCAGTGCTACTTCCCTCAGGTAGATCCATAGCAATGACCTTCTTATGATGAAGAAAGGCATATGAAGATGATACTGAGAACCTGCCCTGCACACCTATCTCCCATCTCCACTTATCACTCACCAATAAATCAATTCCCTGAATTTGCAGAATAGCATCACAATCCTCCTGTGCAATTAAATCTCTCACCCTTTGTGTATTCCATCGGTTGTTGTTGCCATCAATCAGTTCCTGGACAGTTATGTCTTCCCCAACAACACCTTCCTTTAAGTGGATTCCCCTGCCTCTAATGCCTGGCACCCAATTATAGTCACTAAGTTTAACCGAAGCTCCATCTTTAATTTCCACCTGCAAACCCTCCCTCAACAACCCCCTCACTTTCCACCATGATCTCCACATCCAGGAAGAATTCTGATTCAACTTAGCTTCAAAAATAGATGATTTAGGGAAGTACCTGCATTTGATGATTTTACTCATAAGTAGTTGGGGTTGAGTGACTACCCTCCAGAGCTGCTTGACTAGCATTGCCTCATTGAACAGCCCCACTTCCTTAAATCCCAATCCACCTTTGTCTTTTGCCAGTGTAAGGAGTTCCCATCTCTTCCAGTGCACCCCTTTGTTCATTTCCCCTCCACTACTCTACCAGAATTTGGCAAAAATGCTGCTCACTTCTTTACAAATGCTAGCAGGCAGTTTGTAACAAGACATAACAAACAAGGGTAGAACATTGAGCACTACTTTAATCAATACTTCCTTCCCTGCAGAGGAAAGGTACTTGTTCTTCCAGCTGACTACCCTTTTCCTCACAGCTTCAGCCACAAAGCCAAACACTTCTTTCTTTGTTCTCCCAATACCAAGAGGCATGCCCAAATATCTGGTTGATCTCTGAGTTTGAATACCAGGAAAAACACTACACACTTCCCTTTATAAGAATAGCTACCTCGGAGATAGGTAAACTTATCAACAGACTCTCTATCCTCTCTTTTTTCCACTCATTTGCTTAAATTCGTCTATGTTATAGGATAAGAAGATGGTTAGAAATCTTTTATTTTTTAAACCTAATCGCTCTTTTGATTTCGGAAAAAACTTTCTTTATCAATATACTGCTTCTTTTACACACACATCTTCATTCCATAATAGAGAATGTTAATAGTTAGGATTCATTAACAAAATCAAAAATCCACCCGTGGGCAGAAGTCCTTCCCATATAAGGCACTAATCTCTTTTTAACGTCTAATTAGATCGAGAAATTATTCAAATTAAGAACAGAAGCGTCACTTCACTGGTGTTCCTGCTAAAGAATATGGATGATTTGGCTGTGTTCACTTTTTGTCCAGAAAACCTTTGGGGGGTGATTGGATATGAATTCAACTAGTAAAAAACTAGTTTTTTTTAACTATAGTTAAATTTGAAAAAAAGTAGTATGGTTAGTTGTTAGTGGATATATTAAAATATTATTTAAATTAAAATAATTAAAGTTGATTTGATGTAAAAGTAGAAGAAAATTATTGGAAGTGATGGTTAGTTAAAATTATGTGAGTAGATGAATAGTGAATTAAAGTTGATGTGATGTGTAATAATGATTGGTTAATATTATTTAATTATATTGATAATATTGGAGATAGTGGAGTTGAGTTAAAGTTGAGTTAAATTTGAGTTTTGAGTTGAATATTTACTGTGCAAATTATATACAATCACACCCTTGGTATCTAGAGAGTACAGATAATAACACATGTGCCTGATATTTAGTAGCTTTACAGAAGACTAAAGAATCATCTGCAAAGAATAAGTGAGTCAACACAGGTGCCCCTCTAGCCACAGAAACTCCCCTGAAAACCCCTCTATCCACTTCATTTGCAATCATAGAAGAAAGGACCTCAGCAACTAAGATGAACAAGTAAGGAGACAATGGGTCTCCTTGCCTAAGACCTCTCTGAGCATTAACATAACCTGAGGTGCATCCATTAATAATGAAAGAGAAGGACACTGTTGACACACACTCCATAATCCATTTCACAAATGTAGAGGCAAAACCCATGTTAAGCATGGTAAGTCTGATACAAGGCCACTCAATCCGGTCATAAGCCTTCATCATGTCTAATTTAACTGCCATAAAGTTATGTTTTCCTATTCTGTGACGATTTAGAAAATGAAGCCCTTCATTAGCAATCACTACATTGTCAGTCAACAACCTTCCTGGCAAGAATGCTGATTGAGCTTCATTCACACATTTATGCACACAGTTCCTTAATCTTCCAGCCAGGATTTTAGATATTATTTTGTACACCATAGCACACAAACTTATGGGCCGGAATTGGCTTAAATTCTCAGGTACAGCACATTTAGGGATGAGTGTAATTAAAGTGTGATTCCAGTATGGGAGTAGCTGACCGGATTGAAAGAAACTTGAAATGGCTGAGCACAAGTCCTCTCTGATCAATGGCCAGAAATGTTGGAAGAATAAGGCCGGCATTCCATCAGTACCAGGAGATTTCCTGGGATTCATGGAGAATAGAGCTTGTTTAATTTCTCCTTCTTCAACAGGAGCAAGCAACTCTTCATTGTCATCTTCAGTAATGGAAGGCTGCACACAGTTCAGAACCCTTTCACCCCCCTCTGATCCTTCTGATGTAAATAGTCTCGAGTAAAAGTCTTCCACATGTTTATCAATCTCTTCCTTGGTCTCACAAACACTGTTTTGCTCAGTCATCAGCCTAGATATAACATTTGTCCTTCTCCTCTGGGTAACCCAAGCATGGAAAAAATGAGTGTTGTGGTCCCCCTCTTTTAGCCATTCCACTCTTGCTTTTTGTTGCCAGAATAGCTCCTCACTTCTGTTAGCATCATCCAACTCCTTCTGTATCCTATCCCATTCTTCCCAATTTCTTTGTCCCCCTTCCTCTCTCATCTCTTGCAATTTCAAGGATAACCTCTGTCTATGCACACTTTCACTGGTTCTGAACTCTTTACTCCAATTAATCAAAGCAACTCTTGTTTTCTTTATTTTCTCTTTGAGGCTGTACATTGGTGTGCCTCCTTGTTGCCCTTCTCACACTGATTGTATAATCTCACCAATCCCTGCTCTGCCCAACCACCTCTTGTCTAGCTGAAATCTACCCTTCTTCTGTTGGTTGTCAGGAGCTTCATCTAATAGTAACATATGATGATCTGAAGAGCTCTTGAACAAGGCAGTAGTTTGAGTCAGTGGGAATTCTTCACTCCATCCCAAAGAAGCATATGCTTTATCCAGTGCCTCCTCAACAAATCCCTCATTCTCTCTATTATTGCCCCAAGTGTAGTGGTATCCCTTTCTGAGCACCTCTTCCATTTCCATTTCAGCAATAAAATTTTGGAATCCCCTCATGCTTGCGTGGGTTCTCTGCCTGCCTCCTCTTTTGTCCTCCATCTTAGCAACATCATTCAAATCACCAATCATACACCATCTGTCCCCCCATTTGTCCTTCTTCCTCTCTAGTTCACTCCACTGAATTTCTCTAGTCCCTCTATCTGGGCTTAGGTAGACAAAAATAGCCCATCTAAAGCTTTCATTACAATGAGTTCTGAATTCAACCTCAATGTTGTAGCCATCATAGTTCATATTTTTGATATCCACCTCAGGAACCCATGTAAGCAGCAATCCTCCACTCAACCCTCTTGGAGCCACCATTACATTTCTATCCCCAAATCCCAAATTTTTGCAAACAGTCATAGTAAACTTATTAGTATTTTTAGTTTCTGACAAGAAAATAAAATGTGGGTGATGGAGTCTAATGGACTCCTTGAGCTGGGAAATTGTAGAGACCCCACCCAGGCCTCTGCAATTCCACACCAGAGCTCTCATTAGTCACCTTGGGGCCAATTGAGGCTGGCCTTCTCCACCTTTTTTGGACTACTTTTTGCCTTCTTTGGTTCTGTTACTTCCACCAAGTTCTCCTCCTCCACGGTTATTAGGGTTGTGCCTCCCTGCCTTCCCCTTTTCATTCCTTGTAATTGGATCCCTTTACTCTCCCTTTGGTTCCTCTGTAGTAGTCTGCCTACTTTATTGCCAGATCTCTTCCAAGTCTTCTGTTTGGAGGATGTGCTCACTTCTAGCTTACTCTCCACTCCCATAGGCACCATCATTAGACTCTGGTTAGGCAGCTCAGTACACATCTCCTCAGGCCACACTGGTTCTTGTTCCACCACCATTGTTGGTTGATTAATATGTTGACTCAGATTGGTGCTCTTCTCCCTAGTCCTTCCATGAGAGGCTGCAATGTCTTTTCTTGATGAGCTAGACTCCACCAAGCTTGGGTTCTTAGGTGTATGTTCAGCTCCAGTTCTCATCACCACTTCTTTGCCTGTCACTCTTCCCACTAGCTGGCTCTCTTCTTCCTCCTGGGAATCCTTAGTATTGTCCTACTCATCAGATCTCCTATGCTCCCTCTCAAAGGATTGGCTAGTTTGACCTGGGCTACCAAACTTCTTAAACTCCCCAGCCTTAAGCCACTCTCCATACTGCCCTATTTTAATCTCCTCCTTTTCAATGTCCTCTTCTTTGCTAAGACAATCCCTATCCAAGTGCCCCAGGAAACCACAATAGAAGCACAGGTTGACCAGTCTTTCATATCTAAAGCTAACTGTAATAAAATGCTCACCCCACCTCAAGGTGGTACATCGTGGTATAGCCTTAGAGACATCCACTGCTGCGAGCAAACTAATAATGCGCCCTCCTGCTCCCAATGCTATTGTAATTGTCACATTCTTCACCTTCCTAAACACCTTCCCCAATTTGAGCCCTACTTCCATACTCAACCATTCTAGAGGGAGATTGTGAACCTGGACCCACATATTAACTTCATCGAAACTACTATCTGTCTCCCTTATGCCTTTCCTCCACTCCTGAAGCACTAGGTATTGGTTTTCGAAAATCCAATTTGTTCCCAGCAGGACCTTCTTCATATCCAATCGGTTTTCAAAGATGAACTGGAAATAGTTGTAGCTGATTTCTCTAACCTCCATTCCTTGCTGCATTCTCCAGATGCCGGCCATTGTACGTTTCAGCCCAACCAATGAAGCTCTTCTATTTCCAATAACCTTCCCCATAAGACTGCGCTTACACTCCTCAGCACTATTCTTGATGTCGTCGTTGGCAATATCAATCACGTCACACTCTACACCTGCTAGAGAAAAATTTTTTAGTCGATTCGCCATCTCCTCCTCAAACTCTCCTATTTCTTCTTTGTCTCCCATTTTGTCTGCGGTTCCACTAACCCTGCCGTCCTCCTATGAATGATACTCCCTCTTCCCAAACAGTCTTACTGCGCCCTCACCCACTAAGGAATCTATCCCCTCACCCGACGGAATCTCAGCTAACCCTCACTCGACGGAATCGCACTCTCACCAGTGTGACTTGGTAGAGTGGAAGATTCGGACGGAGTATCCGAGTTCAGTGGTTTGAGCTTCTCTCGTGTGTCAGTTGTCCGGTTGTGATGACTTTCTTTTATTTCCGGGGACGGAAATCGTTTAAGGAGGGTAGACTGTAGTGCCCCGTTTATTTGTGGATTATTTGGGAATTTTTATTGTTATTATTATTATTATTATTATTATTATTATTATTATTATTATTATTATTATTATTATTATTATTTATTGGATAACTATTATTTTTATGATAATATTTACATTATATTATTTATGAATGTCTTAATATTATTTGCCAAATTGTGAATAAATGCTAATTGTCTAAATGTCTAAATGATTTATATTTATTATTTATAATGCGTAAATGTGTATTAATATAAATATGTAAAATATATATATATATTGTTCGATATATTTTTATCGTGCGTTTGAATTTATATCGAGCCCGAGAATTTTCGTTGGTACCGAAATTGGGCCCGAGCATGTCCGTTTGAATTTTAATCAGGCCCGTGAGCCGATTTATCGTCGCGAGCCGACTCGCGAGCCCAAAAACCGGCCCAACAAGAATATTTTCTCCCTTCTCTTTTGTTCTTTTTTTCACGTGATTTTTGTGTGGGATTTAAAGTCTTAGGCAACAAGACTTGTTCTTAACCTAATAGTAATTATATATGTCAGCATCGTTTTTCCTTTGGATAAATCCCACATCAGCAGCTTTTGTAATTTCTCAAGTTTGTTCCCGATCTCATCTCTCTCTCCTTGCAACTTCATCGTCCATCTTCTTCGTGATCCCTCATCATCATCCTCGTGAACCCATCATCTCCTTCACCCTCCTCGCCATCACCACCATCGTTCTCATACCATCATCATCGCTCGTCCATCATCATCCTCGTCGCCATCTCCTCCCCGCAAAAACCAGTAGCCCGCGACCAGCCCTCCGGCGACCCTTTGTTCGAGTTTTCCGGCGAGTTCGAGCAGCCCACGAGCCCAGACGATGAGGACCTTCCGCTGTTCGTGAAATTTTTCCGGCGACCTTCCATTTGCAGCAGCCCAGCGACTTCCGGCGACTCCCGACCGCCGCTGCTCTGCCCATCGCGTGTTCAGGCCACCGCGAACAGCCACTCTCGAAGCCGCTGCAGCATCTTCTCCTTCCGGCGAGACGCGAGAATCCGTCGAGCCCCGTTCGTGTTCGTTTCGTTTTTCAAGTTTTTCCCGAGAACGGTATCTCGTCGTTTTTCCGTCTTGTTTAGCTCGTATATGATTTATGTGTTTATTGTCGTGAAGTGCTCGTTGAACAATGAAATATATGTGTGAATTTCTTGATGTGAATATGTGCGTTTATGTATTATTATGATATTATGTGTTATCGTATGTTCGGGACCTCTTCGATTTTCTCAAAAATCGAACGAGGCCTCGAAAGTCGTGTAAGTCAGTGGATATTGGAACAATGTCGAGCCCTTGGTCTTATGAAAAGGCCTCGGACGAGAAATTTCATGTTAGGAATTAATTGACAAGTCGTCGAGCATTTGTATCGCTGTTTTGGTGCTTGAATTTTTAAAAATAGCTCGCTGCTCGAAACGATTTGAAAATTTGAGGGTGATGTTGTCTGTTCAATACCAGCATTATGTAAAACTTTCGTGATTTGTAGAAGCCTTTTGCTATTTTTAATAATTAAATTGAAATCTGATCGGAATAGTGATAAATGCATAACAAATTTATTCGTGAATCAAATGAGCTGAAATTCGAATATGTCATGCCACTGTGACCTTTATATGTTGTGTTAAAGTTTTAGAATTTTTGGACTAGATTTTATGTGGTTAAAAATTTATTTATCAAATCTGCTGAAGCGTTGTTTGATATTTTATAAATTGGTTATTTCGTGAAAAATTCTGAAATTTTACTGAGATGCCTATTTGATGTGTTAAATCATGATTGTAAATGATGGGAATTTTAGGAGTCTATTTTGATTCGGTTTTGATTTAAATTCGATAAACTGCTGATGCTCGTATGAATTTTTAAAAATAGTAGCAGTCGACATTCAGAGCTGATATTTTTATACATGGACTTTAGCATGCTGTATGTTGTTGCGTAAAAGTTTCAAGTTCTGATTCGTTAATTAAGTTCAAGTATGAATTTATGTTCCCTTTTTGTTGATATCTTGTTTGAATTTTATAAAATAGTGTATTTCGTGTTTGAAGCTGAAAATTTTTGGTTTTACATGTTTCTGGGAGATGTAATTTTGTGTCAATTTTCAGAGCCTAAGTCATAGGGTAGCTTGACCATTTATTTTTCATGCGATTAATGATTGCTATTTTTCGAACCATGATTTTTATATAAAAATTTGGAATCGATTTGCTTTTCGTTTTGATGTGAGTTTGACTTGGTCAATCCTTGGATGGATTTATGTGAACTCCATTATGTGGTTTGGTCGAGTTTAGTGCCGAGTCTTAGTGTTCCAACATCCACAGGACTTCACGAACTACTTAGTCGAAACAAAGTTCGACTAGGTCTGTCTTGTGATTTCCGATTTAAGTCAAGATAGATATTGATTGTAGGATCTTGACATAATGTAGGTGTCTAGAGGTGTTGACCTCGCCTCATTTCGGGATTTGTGATTGTGAACTGTTGCTGCTATCAGGTGGGTACATTTATAATGTATTCCATATTTATCGCACTTCTTATTTCGTGTAATGTTTCTTTTGAAAATTATTGTATGCATGAGAACTCTAGTCTAAGTGTTCCGAACGATAGTGCCTTTGATGAATGCATAACAGTGAGAGGTCACATGCCCGTTGTATCCGGGAGGAGACACCCTGATCCGTGTGTGTTTCGGGGGGGAGAAACATCTCCACTGTCTCCTGGAAAACATCCATGATCTGTGAGTAGTTCCGGGTGGACTCCCATGATCCGTGAGTAGTTCGAGGTGGGGGAAATTTTCCAGTTACATCCATGCCGTTGTATCCGGCAGGTTGTTGTATGTACATAGGAGGTTTGCGATAGGGCCAGTAGGGGGTTTAGGCTATAGATTCTATGCATACGGATACTTATATTGGTTTACTGTGATACTGCTTTTTAAAATAACTATACGAGATAACTGTGCGATAATGGTGAGCTAGTTGGTTGCTCACCCCCATTATTTTCTTTGTTGTCTTCTCTCTTCCTTTGTTCTAGGTTGAGACGAGCTGGAGGCGGTGGCGTAAGACGAGCGAGATGGTGGTCATTATGTGTTGAAATCTTATGCTTCCGCATGAACTTGCTATTTATTCATTTGCTATCGCACTTTGGATTATTTTATTTCTTCATTTTTGAACTATGTTGAATTTCGTTTTAACCTTGATTTCATGCTAGACGTTTGGGAATGATTTGGAAATTTATGACTTTGAGATTGTCAATTTGATAGCTCGAGCATGTGTAGGTTCATTGGATTGTTTGATTGAGTGTGTTTATTTGTTGTGGTTAATAAGTAGCGCCCGTTTCTCGATAAATGTTTTAACTTGGAATTTAAACAAAAAAAAAATACTTTGATTTTTATTAAATAAATTCGGTAAATTCTTTAAAATAAAACGGGGCATTACAGTTTGGTATCAGAGCCAGTCTTGCCTTTCTGTAGACTGGTTCGTATGTGATTAAATGTGTAAGGACCATTTGACCACTGGCTTTCGTCTCGCCGCGCCAGCTCATGGTATGAGTTTATTTGTTTTGAGTATTGTGAATAACGTGATTATGGTTTGTTCTTTTATTGGGGCTTAGGAATTTACCCTCCGTTTTTACGGACTTGAACTCTAGTGGCATAGAGTTAAGTTCTAACTTTAGAGGTTTATGTTGTGAGTTTTTGGTTTCGTGTTTTTTAGTAAAGAGAGCAGACAGCCGAAGAAGTCCCAAGTGTGTGGGTTATTTGGAAGTCTGTGACTATTGTGGATATAACT